ATCTATCCATCTAGCTGGTCAGTTGGATATACAACTAGTCATTCATAAAGCTATCCATTTAGATATCCACTTATCTATCCATCTATCCAGCTGGCTATCTATTCAGCTCTTAAATTACATAGCCATATAGCTAGTCATTCAGATATCTACATATCTATCCATCTAGCTATTTCGCATTTATCTAGCTATCCATATAACTATCCTATCAATTATTCTTCTAGCTGTCCCTCAAGCAATCCGTTTAGCTAATTGCCTAGCTATCCAGCTAGCTGTTCATCTATCTATCCATCTAGCTGGTCAGTTGGATATACAACTAGTCATTCATAAAGCTATCCATTTAGATATCCACCTATCTATCCAGCTGGCTATCCATCTAGCTACCACTCTGGCTATCCATTCAGCTCTCAAATTAGATAGTCATATAGCTAGTCATTCAGATATCTACATATCTATCCATCTAGCCATTTCGCATTCATCTAGCTATCCATATAACTATCCTATTAATTATCCTTCTAGCTGTCCCTCAAGCAATCCGTTTAGCTAATTGCCTAGCTATCCAGCTAGCTGTTCATCTATCTATCCATCTAGCTGGTCAGTTGGATATACAACTAGTCATTCATAAAGCTAGCCATTTAGATATCCACCTATCTATCCATCTATCCAGCTGGCTATCCATCTAGCTATTACTCCGGCTATCCATTCAGCTCTCAAATTAGATAGTCATATAGCTAGTCATTCAGATATCTACATATTTATCTATCTAGCCATTTCGCATCAATCTAGCTATACATATAACTATCCTATCAATTATCCTTCTAGCTGTCCCTCAAGCAATCCGTTTAGCTAATTGCCTAGCTATCCAGCTAGCTGTTCATCTATCTATCCATCTAGCTGGTCAGTTGGATATACAACTAGTCATTCATAAAGCTAGCCATTTAGATATCCACCTATCTATCCATCTATCCAGCTGGCTATCCATCTAGCTATTACTCTGGCTATCCATCGAGCTATCAATCTGGCTATTCAATCAGCTCCCAAATTACATAGCCATATAGCTAGTCATTCAGATATCTACATATCTATCCATCTAGCCATTTTGCTATTTATCCATCTTACCCCCAATTTAACGAACCATTTATTAACCAATTTTTTGCAGTCCATTCATTTATTTACCTTTCTATCCAACTATACATCCAACTAAAAATTTAGCTAGCCACAAAGCTAGTCATTTAGATATTGACTTAGATGTCCACATAATTCTCCCTCTGCTATCCATCCAGCTATCAATTTGGTCTATTAACTAGCTATTCACCTTGTTATCCACCTAGCTATCCACTTACCTAACTATCTAGCTAATTACTGATCTAGCTATCCATCCGGCTATCCCCTCTTTTAGCCCTCCAAACCAATTATAAACCACTTGATCGAGCCAGTTCTCCATCTAAACATCTTTCCAATGGCTGATAACTATGCAAAAGTTTAATGTATAAAGACCTAGTCGGATAATACCGGGGCACATGAGACGTATTCACCCTATTTCGTTAAAGGTGATGCAGGACTGGTAGTTGAATGTATTTCCACAATGATATGAGTAGAGCTGACGTTTCCATTGAATTTCACAGCCCTGATTTCGCAAAATGTATTCTCATCCAGGCTCGAATGGATTGTAATTTCCACCTCCCTAG